TTTCTTTTGACAAGTGGCTCCTGATTGTGCCCAGCCAGACTGCGGCAGTAGAGCGCTCGCCTAGCACGTGCGAGGCCCTGGGTTTGATCCTCAGCACCACATAGAAATAAATAAATAGAGATACTGTGTCTAACTACAACTAAAAAATAAATATTTAAAAATAAAAATAAAAAGGGCTGGAAATGTAGCTCAGCCGTAAAGCACCCCTGGGTTCAATCCCTACTTTTCTGCCTTTGGTACTACCATTCTTCCCTCATTTTTTGTTTGGTTTTTGTTGATATTGGGAAATTACCCTAGGGCTTCACACACGCTAGATGGGCACTACGCCACTCAGCTACATCCCCAGTCCTTTTCAAGAATATTTGAGACAGGGTCTTACTAGGTTGCCAAAGCTTGCATCAAACTTGCCATGCTCCCGCCTCAGCCTTCAAGTAGCTGGCATTACAGGAATGCACTAGCACATCTGGATCTCCCCTTATATTTATCAATAATATTCAACTTCTTGAAACTCCTTACACACATGGTGCTTCATGTGATTATGCCCCTGTAAATATTATCCATTCTTCTGTGCTAGAAAATCATTAATCATCTCCTTTTCATTTTTTCACTCATAGCTCTTACTTGCCACCAGACAGAGTCAATCCTTCCACTATATTCTTCCTAGATCTTACAAATTCACTTGTATTAGAACAAATATCCATTGGACTTTATTTGGAACATCAATGATGTGGAAAATGTGCTACACTTCTCTTTGTACAGCAAATACTTAGCACAAACTTCTCAACAACTTCAAGAAACTAAAATTGTCTAAGCTCCTAGAGCCCTATTCCTAGGAAATCACAAGAGGAAATGTGGATAGCGTGATTCTGATTCCACAATTGTATTCTATTTTTTGGGCCGGGAATTGAACCCAGGGGCACTTTTACCACTGAGCTATATCCCCAGTCCTTTTTTTAAAAATTATCTTATTTTTTTAGTTGTCAATAGACCTTTACCTTATTTATTGATATGCGGTGCTGAGAATTGAACCCAGTGTCTCACACATGCTAGGCAAGCACTCTGCCACTGAGCCACAATCCCAGCCCATCCCCAGTCTTTTTAAAAATTTTATTTAAATTTTTAAAATTTTGAGAGACTCTAAGTTACATGAAGTTGGCCTCAACTTGCAATCCTACAAGTAAAAATTTTAAAAGGGCATTTAAAGAAACACACATTCACACTAATAAAACACTGAATTTGTACAAAAAAAAAAAAAAACCCAAACTTGAGATCTTCCTGCCTCAGCTTCCTGCATCAATGAGAATACAGATATGTGCCACCATGCCTGACTTTTCTTTAAATGCTAAACAGTGATGAACTACTCCTTAACTTCCAGGAATTCTCAAGGTCTGATACCCAAGAACCATAGGCTCCCTTTTACAACCATAAATAATGCTACCGAAATTTGTTTCTTAGTTTTTCCTGGCTTATTTCAAAAGGGTATTTTTAAAAAGGAAGCATTCGATCCAAGGCTCTGTCCATGCACATGTGTTGCTATAGTTTACATCTTTGATGTCCAAAAGTCTATGTGTTGAAGATCTGGTCCCAGCTTATGGCACTATTGAAAAATGTGACCTTTTTAAAGTAAGGCCTAGTGGGAGGAAGTTAGGGTCAGAGGGTATGCCCCTGAAGGGGATATTGGAACCCTAAGCCTTCACTTTCCATTTCTTTATTTCCTTCTTCCCTTCCACCATTAGGTGAACAGGCCTCTTCTTCCATGCACTCCCACCATGCTGTACTATGCTACCACAGCCCAAAGCAACAGATCCAAGCAATCATGGACTGAAATCTTTAACACTCTATGCCAAAATAAATTTTTCCTACTTTCAAAGTGAATATCTCAGGTATTTTCCCACAGATACAAAAACCTGACTCATGTGTCCATCTCTCTTTCCCTCACATATCCATGAACAAAAAAAAAAAAAATCAAATTTCTTACTTTTTCAACTGAAGACCCAGTCCAAATCCTTCCTTATTCGATGGCTGGAAAACCTCAATTGATGGTTCTGCAAAGAGAAGAGAAAGTTCCTAGTGTATACATATCTCTATCCTCCTTGGAGTTTAAAGCCATAGTTCAGTGGAATAGTTTCCTCACAGTCTAAAAACAGTAGCTACTGCATATTCTAAATAATAATGTGGAAGAGAAAAACTTCTGAGGTAGATAGATTGTGGAAGCTCTCTAATCAATTTCAAATATTCTCAGTAGGAAACTGAAGGAAAGGGAAGAATAAATAAATGATATCTTAGAACTAGAAAACAATTTCATTAACCAAGAAGGCCTTTAAGGGATAGCTATCGAGAAGACATCAATGACATGAAACTGAAAATTCCCTATCAATAGCTATAGATTGAACCCAAGGGCCTTACTCCTAGTTTTTTTCTACTTCAGTTAACTTAGAACTTTAGATTAGACCACACTCAGAGTACCCGCTTGCCCAAATCACTGCTTTTACCTGGTCCATCAAGGTACTGGGAGAGAGAAAATCTCAGCCTTAACACAATAGGTTCTGTCCGGAGGACCTTCCAGGCTGTAGATACTTCCTCCTAAAAGAATAAGGGAAAGTTTCCAGTTTACAATTGGAATGGACTTGAAATTTCCCCTATGCAACACATACATGCACATGACAGTACACACCACTGTCTGCTGATGGTCTAGGAAAGACAGAGATGAAGAACCTGTGCTCCAAATACAGCACTCAGGAACAAGACTCCTGGCCTACATGACAAAATCCACAAGTCCAGATAGACATGTTGTTGGCAGGTACTAGCACCACTTACATCGAGGAAGCTGATGTTGATGTGGAGATCAATGTCCACGTCATCGATAGTTCCATATTCTCTACAGAGATACAGGCAACCACAGGTGAGTCTCATTAAGGGAGAAAGAAGGGAACAGAAACTGAGACAGAAGGAGAACTGAACTGGGGACAGGCGAGAGGAAAGGCTAGAAGACAGTCTGTATATAGGGTCTTAGCTGGATGATCTCAAGCCACTTATATGATCAGGGCTTTCTCTAGGACAGAAACTCTTCTTACATCAAAAGTAAAATTACTGACTTTCAGAAATTTAGGATAAGAAGAAATTTATTTACTTATTATTATTATCGTTGTTGTTGCTTTGGCCATACTGAAGATTAAACCCAGGAGCACCTAGCCCTTTTTATTTTTATGGTATTATTATTTTTGAGACACTGTCTCACTAAGCAACTAAGGCTGACCTTGAACTTGCATTCCTCCTGCTTTAGCCTTCCCAAAAGCTGGGATTGTAGGTGCCCCTGGCTAAGAGGGAACTTCTAAGAAAAGTAGTTTTACTACCAATACCTCCTGTTAGCCAAGCATCAGTATTTTGGGCAAATTTTATCATTAAGCTCACTATTTATCCCCTTATCACAACATAAAAAGAAAAAAAACCTTTAGTCTTTTAACAACTCAGAAATAAGTGACTTGCTCCCCTGCCATCCTGAAGTAGAGTCTTACCTGATGGATACAGAGTTCTCACTGTAGATCTCCTTCACAGCTTCAATGTCTGCATCAAGCTGTGGGTGTCGATACAGGTCAGCTGCACAGCTCCCCTAAGATAGCAGCAAAAAATGTAGGGTGGTAGGAGGGGTGGAAAAGGATATATAAACAGGGAAAGACAGACAAAAATAAAAAGAACATGAAGATACACCAGAAACAGAGGGAAACAAACAGCAGCAGTACAGGGAAGCGAAAGCTATTTATATAAAGGAGTTCTTGATGGTGGCCCTAGCTAGAGATTTTATTGACAAATCCCTTCCTCCTACATCACCACTTTAAGGAAGTTTCTGAAGACCAAATGTAGGCCTTTCTTGAAGAGTTCACATCCTTTAAATCTTAAGCTTTTCCTCTCAGGCACTGACCTGCTAAAACTCAGATAGGCTAAAGGGTACAGATTTTAACTCAAGTAAGTTCTATCTGAAGAGCGTTCTGAAAGTGTGAGCATTTTTGCTCAAGAGTATGTCCTTTTAAGACTTGACCCTAATGAATAATCCTCACTGGCTAGTGAAATAAGTAAAAAAAAAAAAAAAAATAGTTCCTAAGAAAATACATATGGCTTTCATTTACAGAGGATGTAGTTTACTCTGTAACAGGTATAAGTCCCAGCCTAGCAGGAGCAAAGACATGGGATAAGCTCTGACAAGACCATAATTAGACCTTACCAACATTATATCCTCATCTCATCACTGCTCCAGGACAACTTCTTTCACTCTTGATGTATCCAGAGAATAAAATCAAGACCACCCAACATTGAATATTATAAAGAATATAACCTCACCTGAACTCCATAGAGAAATTCCTCTGATTCATTATCTCCTTCTGAATCATCATCATTCCAGAACTGGCCTTTGATGTCCTAATGATGAGAAATAAAGATACAATTATTTCTTAAGTCCCTTTCATTCCATGGAATATGGTGGGGTGACAGAACAGGAAAAGGTTCCTTAGGGTAAAATAACTAAAGACTTAATCCCGTTACACTTTTTGCCTCACCCTTTACCAAGTCTCTCTCTTCCTGAATCTGATCATATCCAAGGCATAGCTCTAACTTGAGAAAGAAGAAAACAGTGAGGAATTTTGGCCTTCTTAACTCTCCATATGATCAAGGCTCTGGTAGCCAATGAGGAAGGGACACAAAAGACTTCAATGATAAAGTTGATTTCTAAGTATATCTGGATTGTAGTATAAGCCGGCCTCTTCTAGGATCATTACCCAAGGAAGCACCCAAGTATACGTAAGCTCTCTTATCTCATTATTCTGTTTCTATCTCTTAATGTATTTAACTCACCCCTTTTACCCTAAGAAAACACATACACACACAAACACTTCTCCCCCAAGTAATACTATTTCCTGCCCCTTCTCCTTTCTTTAACTTCAGATACCACACTCTTCCAAAAGGGCAAGAGAGAAAATACGGGGGAAAGATAAGGTCAGCACATTGTCTCATCTACCCACTGGATGATTAGTTGGAAGAAGTAAGCAGTCAGTTCTCACCATTGGGTCAGTAGGTCACACACACTCCCAGGTCAGTGCTAGGCAGCACCCCTCCATACCACCAACTGAACCCAGGCCAACGAGATGGGCATTTAGGAGGCCACAAAGGGAGATAAGGGAGGGAGGTGATGTTAGAAGCAACTGGAGATCTGCTGGGGATATCAGACTCTGCTACTGTGGTAACAGGTCACTGTTCTGTGGAAAGCATATAACAACTAGTTACATCACCACTTAATAGCTAGATGGCTTATACACAGGTACACTTTTATTACATGTAAAGAGATATACTTACATGTGTACACATTCACTTTTGTATGTCCTTCTTTAAAGGTAATGAACAATGCCAGGTACAGTGGTGTAGGCCTGTGATCCCAGCGACTTGAGAGGCTGAAGCAGAAGGATCACAAGTTTGAAGCCAGTCTCAGCAACGTGATGAGCCCTAAGCAACTTAGTGAGACCTACATCAAAATAAAAATAAAAAGGGCTGGGGATGCCAGGCACAGTGGTGCATGCCTTTAATCCCAGCAGCTAGGGAAGCTGAGGAAGGAAGATTCCAAGTTCAAACCTCAGCAACCCTAAGCAACTTAGTGAGACTCTGTCTCAAAAAAAAAAAAGAAAAGAAAACAACTTTAAAAAGGGCCAGGGATGTGGTTCAGTGGTTAAGTGCTCCTGGGTTCAATCTCTGGAACCAAAAATAAAATGAAATAAAGATAATGAACCATGAAAACACTATACAAACATAAGGTACTGCCATTAAATTCAAACAGTAGAGCTGGGATTGGAACAAGGACCTATTCTACTTCATAATGCTACAATAACCTCAAAGCCAAATGTGATGATGGCAGATCAAATGTTTATGCTATCCTGTCTAACCAGTTCATTTTTAAATATTCTTCACCATACCAATCCTCACCACAATTAAGAACCAGAATCACACTCTTTTTCTCAGTCATTTCTCCATAGTGAACCATTATCTTTTTTAAAACATCAATATTACTATAAGCCATTATGCGACAATCATATCTAACAAAGTCCTCAACAATACTGAACGTCCTCAAATAAACATGGTCTGAATTGTTATGGCCAAAATAATGCCCTGGGATCATCTTGGAACCTAGTCCCCAAATAAAAATTCATAATGATCCCAACAAATGCATTAAAAAAAAAAAAAAAAACCACTAACCCCTAACCTTTTCTCCTGCTTGTTTCTAATCCTAAAGACCTCTAATTGTATACCAAGCAACTTTTAGCCCCACTAAAGACTCCACATGCAGCAGGGAAAAACAAAACATCTGTTAAACTATGAAGGGTTAAATGGTAGATAGCAAAGCTACCCTAACAACTGCCTAAAAAACTTCTGTTGCCTCTGCTGTTCCCTTTCAATGCACATATCCACATTCTGCTCAAAGGTCACCTTGACTATCCTATATAAAATAGCAACAACTCAACATATACTAGCACTATTTCTCTTCTCCCCAAATACTTACTACAGTCTAGCATACATTTATCTCCCATCAGAATGTAAGTTCTATGGCATAGATTTTTTTTTTTTTTTTTAGAGAGAGAGAGAGAATTTTAATATTTATTTTTTAGTTTTCAGTGGACACAACATCTTTGTTTGTGTGTGGTGCTGAGGATCGAACCTGGGCCACACGCATGCCAGGCGAGGGCGCTACCGCATGAGCCACATCCTCAGCCCCCTATGGCATAGATTTTAACTGTTTTCACTATGCTCTTAGTTCCTTAACATATTAACCGAATAATGAGCTCTCTGCTCTATAACTAAGTCAAACAAGACAATAACCTAAACCACCTCCAAGCATAGGCAAAAATCATTAAAAAAAAAAAAAAACAGATTTTAAACAGCAAGACTTCATTCACCTTCAAGAGCAGCTGAGAACCAGAATATGAAGATCTGGGGCTGGGCTTGTGAAATTTGAAAATAAACAGTCAAGCATTGATCTGGATGATCACAGAGGAATAAAGAGGGAGGCACTAATGTTCAGGCTGGGTTGTCTTGGGGGATGAGTGGTAAGATGATGGCCACACAGGCCAGAAGTAGTAACTTTTTCAGGGTCTTTATCACTGTAGAAGTCAAGAAAAACTCAGCATCTCTCCAAAGGCTGTTGCTGCTCAGCGTCTGCTGCTTTCACGAGGAGGAAAAAAAAAAAAAAAAAGTTCAGAGCAGAGTTTTTTTCCTGTCCAAAAAGAGACGTTCAGAAATTACTGGCATTTTCAAACCAGGCTAACGTAGTGAAAGGGACTTCTACTGTCTATTCTCAATACCATTCTCAGAGAGGTGAGTGGGTTTAAGAGCTGGAGAATATAGCCACATAAGGCCCTGAGATAGATCCCCAAGACATAGAGAAAGAAAACATGCAGAGTGGGGGGGGGGGGGAGCAGGTGGTAGGTAACAGAATTCACAGAATCATTTTAATAGAATTCATAGAATCATTTAAATAAGAAATAAGGTTGAAAGTTTACCTAGTTCAAAGCTTTCATGTTATGCAGAGACAGTCAGATATATGGAAGTCATACAACTTGCTTAAGGTTAGGAGTATAGGTGAACTATATCATTTGACAAGTCCAAATTACATCCAATATTCATGTGATGAGACTATAAATAATTGAGGGAGTTGTTCATGAATTCAGCAAGACATGTCTTTTTTATTGAAATGATAAAATAAAGAGGGAGTATTTCACAAGAAGTTGGGCCAAATATAGACTATAAGAAGAATGCCCAAAGAAGGGTGTTGTTAACTTTGGTGTTTATTTTGAATGATGACAACTACCATGGAATGCTTTATGTATTTCCATGGGAATAAACCAAATGCAAATAAGCCTCAAGTCTGGATCACAAAGGTCTTTTTCCCTAGGTTCATGGGGATCTTCTACGCCTAGTCAGAGAAGCTTCTGATCTCCTCATTTAAACTCTGGGCTTCACTCCCAGCTTTGTGGTCTTGGGCAAGTAAAAAAAACAAAAAAACTCCCCTCTATACCGAGGGTTCCAGTCTCAGAAAGCCTAGGCCATTAAACAAAGAGCGAAGAGAAGAGCCAGGGAGTGGCGATTCCCGCAGGATAGCGCAACCCCGGGTACCCGGCGGAAGGAGAGAACCCGGCTGGTCCTGAAAACACCCTGCCACCCGCACTTCTAGGGCAGGCCCTAGGGCCTCCCTTGAGGTAGCAGTTACAGTTCTCCTGGTTTCCTCTGAAGCCCCAGACACCCAATCCCTGCCTTCCCAAGAAAGCTCTGGCCACTTCTGTGGTTCAGCCGCCCGGCCTGAGCGAAGCCTAAGTCTAGAAGCCACCCTCAGAACCACCTGGTCCAAACCCCTCACTTCATCCCCCGCCGCCGAGGCGGGGCGGACCCCACACCCTTCCAGCGGTCTGGCCGCCCCGCCCCGTCCCCGTGGTGGCCGCCCCACAGGCCAGCCTCGCGAGTACTCACGGCGACCCCGGGCCGCGCGCGGCCGCCGCTGAGGGGACGAGCGGCCCGGGACGCCCCGCGGGGGCGGAGCGGCGGGCCAAGGGGCGGGGACCAGGCCGGGCGGGCGAGGTCGCGCACCCCACGCCTAGTCGTTCCGTCACGGGTGCGCTGGGCCACTCTGCGCACGCTCGCGCCGCGACAACCGCGATCACGTGTCTCTCTCCTGACCAACCGACGCGCGGCGGGCAGCCGGGCGCGCCTCCGCTCCGGACCCCAGCTTCAGGGCGCTTGCCCCATAGTCGCTAATTGGGAGGGGTACGGAGCGAGAAGGTGGCGCCTGCGCAGTGGGTTGGAGGGGGCGAGTGGAGAAAGAAGAGAGGCTCCGGGAAGTGGGCGGAGTGCTCTCCAAAGGAGGAATATTTGCGTTTGGCTCCCTCTGTGGTTCGGAGGAATGCGCAGGTAAGGCAATCCACCTGCTTGCTGGGAGGCATCCTCCTTACTGAACGCTGGGAGTCGGCCCACAGAGGCCTAGAGCCCCGTCCTCTCCCCAGGTATTACTGACTCCAAGAATCTCTCTCGAAAGTGAGAGTCAAATATCTTAGACTCTTTTAATTCTTACAGTTTGACTAATTTGTTCCCCTGGTAGCTTCAGTATGGAAAGTACCCTGACCTTCTAAGTTAAGGTAGGTTCAAAGCCTGGTTTCAGCACTTTATTGTGCAACCTAAAATAAAAACTTTTCATTTTCTGAGTCTTTATTCATTCTACCCCTTCTCTGTCTTTCTGTGTCTCTCCGTTTCTCTCTCTCTCTCTCTCTCTCTCTCTCTCTCTCTCTGTCTCTTCAATACTGGGGCGTGAACCAGGGCCTCACACATGTTAAGGCAAGCTTTCTATGGCTGAGTTACGTCCCCTGTCCTTTTTATTTTTTATTTTGAGACAGGGTCTGCTTGAATGCCCAGGTTGGGTTTGAACTTGTGATCCTGCTGTCTCAGATCCCTAGTAGCTGGGATTATAGACATGTTGCACCAATATTTTCACATCTTTGAACTGGAGACAATAATGCCTATTTCATAGGGCTGTTGTATTGAAGGTAAAATGAGGTAGTATTAGCTTAAACCATTATTAAGTTGAACCATTTTTGTAGGATATAAACAAATATTTGTAACTTTTTTCATGTGGAATGCTTCATGAGTTTGCACAGGGAATGCTAATTTATTCTATATTATTCCAATTTTAGTATATATGCTCCCCAAATGAGCACAAATACCTGAAATTTCATAGGATTAAATTTAATACATTTGAAGTAACCAGCAAGCAGCACACCACCAAAATCCTAGCTACTCCGGAGGCTGAGCAGAAGGATAGCAAATTGAGGCCAGCCTGGGCAATTTAGCTAGATGATGACTCACAAATAAAATAAGTGAGTGAAGCACTGGGTTTGATCCTCAGCAAAACACATAAAAATAAATAAAACAAAGGTATAAAAATTGAAAGAGGGCTGGGGGTGTAGCTCAGTGGTAGAATGCTTGCTTAAGTATGTGCAAGGATTCAATCCTCACACACACAAAAAGTAAATAGCATAATCCTTTGACTAGGAAGTACAGATGTCCCAATTTACATGGTTCAACTTAAGATCATTCTAATTTATGATGGTTCAAACCCAATACCTATTTAGTAGAAACTATACTTTGAATTCCGTACTTTTCTTGGACATAGCATTATGCACTGCAGTCTCAGTGGGGCAGAACATCTGATCAAAGTTGCCCAATCAGCCACAAGATCAAGAGGGTAAACAACTGATACTTTGCAGTGCCCTGTTGCTAAGTATAATGTTCTTTCAGTGGGTTAGGTGTACTAAATGAGTTAATTGGAGCATAATCCCATTGTAAGTTGAGGAGCATCTATAGTCCATAAATGGAAGCTGAAATTGTAGTTTTTATGGTTATTATCCCTAGATATGGCCAGACTTCCTCTCATATTTACCAGTCTTGGGCTCCCATATAACCTTCTTTTCCATCAGCACTCATGGGAAAAGGTTCATCTTGGACATACTCCTCTTCCTCACTTCCTCTTTTTAGCTGGACACAGCACACACAAGGAGGGCCTTAACCCTAAATGAAAAAACCACATGCCGTATTTATTGCTTCTGAACTGATGTCAGAATTTTCCCAGTAAGGATTCTCTTTTACATTTGTATATCTTCAGCCCCTCCTTTCTGACTGATTTTCATTTCAATGCCCACCTCTGTTCACCTTGCCACTCAGCCTGGGCCACAACAGTATCTCAGTTTGACACACCCATTGTATATAATAACTGAAAAAGTAAGGCATATAGCCCAATTGCAGAGTGCAGAAGGTCAGAGTAGTTGGGGAAAGAGTTGGTCCTACTCCCTAATGCAGGGTCCCATAATAGCTTCTGAGAACCACATGTGTATGGGAGTGTGAATACAGCACTTTTGGGTAGGCACAGGAGTTCTGACTCCTTCAGTGAAATGTTCAACTCCAGAATTCCATAACCTTCCAGGACTCCCCCTCCTGAACCCTTACCATCTCACACCACTACTCAGTTACTCATGGTGAATCTCAACTGCTTCATAGTTTTTCAGGACCTTCCTGGCCTTGCTTATTTTCCTATCCATTCCCAATATTTTTGAAAAAATATTTTGTTATAGATGGACACAATATCTTTGTTTTATTTATTTATTTTTATGTGGTACTGAGGATTGAACCCCAGTGCCTCATACATGCTAGGCAAGTGCTCTACCACTGAGCTACAACCCAGCCCCTCCATTCCATGTCTTTAAGTCAGTCACATTAATGGCATTTTTGTTAGTATGATTGACCTTAATCTTTTTTAAAAAAACACTCATGGGTAATTTTAACTATGTATCTTCTCTATTCTCTCATCCTAAACTAGGATGAAGGAACTACTCAGTCCTACAGACTTGAGCTTGTAGGTGGAAACCATTTTAGGTTAGTCCAGCCCATGAGCCCATTCTTTGGGAATTATATTTCCCACATTCACACTCCAAATCCACAAGCTTCAGGGCCATTTTTGTATTTTGTGACCCCTGGCACCCTGGTTGCAGTTTATTGAACTGTAAGTGTATTCCTGATCTCATCTATACTAAACAAATATTCTCTCCTGGGAATCTGAAATAGGGCTGAGAGATTATGATTCTAACTAGACTCTATCCATCTCCCACCTATTATGTGAAATGAGAATGGATAAAGACATTCTAGGACAGAGAATGAAGCATGGAGAAGTAGAAACTAGAAATGACAAGATAGTTCTCTAGCTCCTGGTGGCTTCTCAGACACTTTGTGAGGCCCTCTGACCTTGGGGTTCTGTGAATCACTCTTTATCTAGAACAAATTGCTTAAGCTCACTTAACTTGTACCCAATACATAGTCTCATTAGCTGAGCTCTCAGTGTAACAAGCATCCCTTCCACACCATCCTTCATTCTGTTTCACAGATAAAATAAAGGCCATGAGGGTTGCTGCCTCCACTTTCTGTCCCCTGACATTGGCTCTCTCCCATCTTTTATATTTCACAAAGCCGAGTGGAGGTCTCCCTTCAAATCGAAGGTTAATCCTTTCATTGTGATCTGTATCTCCTTTTGGCCTCTTCGCTAACTGCTCCTTTGCTTACCCTTTCCTTCATGTATATTCAACTCTTTCCTCTTTTCTACTCTTTGATCTTAGCACACAAATATGATCAATTAGCCCAACCTTTAAAAAAAATCCTGTTTTAATCTGATATGCTACTGGTTTTTCTTGCCTGCAGCCCAGCTTCTAGTAGTAGTCTATACTCTGCATCTACACTTCCGTGGGTGCCATCTGAGTCTTCCCAGAATCTCTACTGAAAACACTTTCACCAAAGTTACAAATGACTTCTGAACTGCCAAGTCCACTGGAAATATTCAGGCTTGGTAAACCACTTGATGTCATTCGGCATTGTTGATCATCCTATCCTCTCAACCTCTGTTGGCTCCTTTGAAATAGCCTCTTCCAGTTTCTTTCTCATGTGATTCCTTCACTGCATTCTTAATAGACTCCTTTTCCTTAATTTACTATTTAAATAAGAAAACAGGCCAGCATAAGCCTTTTTTTTCCTCTTATCACACTTTCCAGTGATTTCAACAGCACCCTGGTGAAGCAGACCTAGCTCATTTTAGGCTTCTCAGAATCTGAATCCCCTTCTTACGTTACAAATCATATAGATAAGCAGAGCCTGCCTTCCATGACAGACACCAAAAGTTTAGATCTTTACTTTCCCAGATCTTCAGCAGGTAAGACAGAAGCATATGACCTAGGCTTAGCCAAGCAGCCCCCGGAAATGGAGATTCTGAAATGATTCAGAGAAATAAAACCATGGAGAATTCATCCCAGTGACAGTTGCCACAATAGGCTCAGCCTAATCTCATGCCCAGCAGCTGTGGTGTGGGAATTGGTGGGGGTGACATCCAGTGTCTGAAGATAACAGCAGGAGCAATGTTCTTGCTGGGCTGGTTCTGGTATGTGATTCTGGCCTTTGTTCTGGTGAACTCGCCTTCCATTGTTCCTACCTATTTTCTAATCTTGGGTCTCCTACCTGAATCATGGTACCCAAACTAGTGCCCTTCCAACAAATGTTTTCTGTTTAAATCAGCATTAGAGACATACATCTATAAACTAGGCTTCCAAAATCTATATCTCCATCCTAACCTTCTTGAGTTTCAAGTTGCCTTTTGGATGAATTGCCTTTGAAACAGCTCCACTTGGATACCTCACAGGCAGACTCATCTTCTCTAAATTTCTTTCATGTTCCTTACTAAATATCATCTGTGATTTATTCAGCCTGAACCTTGAGAAGGAA